TAAACAATTTTTTTCTCCAAAAATAATATTTCAAATATTTTTCAGGTAATGTGGTTACGAAACTGCATTTTGGCCAGATCACTATTCTAGGAATTGATCCGTATTTACAAGTGATAAAATAAATATTTCTAATCCTAAAATGTATATTAAAATAAATAAACCTGCTGATTGCTTCAATTATTTTTATGAAAATGTAAATATTACGACCAGAAATACAGATCATTTCCTAAAATAGAGATTTAGGTGAAAAAAATAGTTCTGTAACCAATTTATGTAAAAAATATTTAAAACATCATTATTTTTTCAAAAAAACTTTTCATAAAAAAATTCATATTTAGGCAATTCATTATGCATATTTAGGTCATCGAAAAAAATGAAATTAAAGCTATGTAACAATTTATCGTAATCATTTTAGCTAAAAATAAAGGTACTTTTAGGAGACAGAATATAAAATCACATCATTTTTTTATAAAACTTAAGATGAATCTATATTTTTTCCTTAATAAGCCTTAAAAAAAATTATATGCACTTAAAGCTTATTAAACGGAGAAATTTTTTAAATGTGGGATACTTGTAGTATAGTTGGATGATAATAAAAAAAATTGGATACAATTTATGATTTTTTGAATGTTCTCTATAAATGGTTTTTACAATGACAAACTATATTTTCTTTTAAAGTAAATTTTGTCTAGTTTACAGTAAGGCAATTATTAATTACATAAATTAAATATTTTTATAGTTCATATATAATTTTTGTTTTAGGGTGAAATTATCTTTAATAATATAAGCTATAGGCTGTATTTTAAGAGATGGCTAACACCACTATCACATCATATTAAGTGTAGTTTTGTATGAAACTAATTGTGAATTAGGTGTTACAGATGGTGTCATAGCCGGTGTAGAAAAAGTTAAAATAAAACATGGTGAAATAAATACATCCTATACCATATATTATTTTTTTTAGTTATCTACAATAAATATGACTTATTGAAATAACACAAAAATTGGATTTTCTACTTTTCTGCTGAAAATTGACACATTAGTTAGATCAACTTTTTGTAGCTGTCGAGGTCCTATTACGTCCTATTAGACTTAATAGGATAAAAAATCCCTCTACTTACGGGACACCTTGTATATAAAATTAAAAGATTTCATAAACAAAAAAAAAATATATAAAATTGGAGTTTTTTAACTGCAACAGATTATAAAAATGTAAATCATTTGTACGTGGTATATATTAAAATACAGTTCCTAGGCCTCTCATGGATACTGGAACAATTAAATTATAGAGTGACATCTAGAGATATTGGGCCCCAACAAGTTGTTAAAATATAAAAATCAGAGATTAAGTTTACAATATTTAAATTTAATCACTGATTATTTATATACTAAATATGTACATACATATTTAATAACCACATGTTCCAGTAATATAAAAAAATAGCATATGAATACATAAAAATAAATAAAAATGATTTTCGTTATTTTCGGAAAGAGCAACGTCTCAAATCTTTTTGCAAAAAATATTTTTCGATATCTTTATAAAAAATTTTTTTTTCATGATATACTGAAATGTTTTCAGATAAAATTCAGATATAGTGAACAAAATTCAGTTCATGAAGGTTTATGATCTACAGTAGTTCAATTTTAATTTTAAATGAAAAATTTAATGTAAAATAGTGTGGAATGGAAACAAGTTTTTGTTAATATTTAAGTCAATATTTTTGATTGTCTTTTAGAATTATCAAGTGGAGAAATAGACAGTTTACAGAAATTTCATTCCTAGAGAATGTCTAATTTATCTTCCATTAATAATTTATGGACATTATTACTATTTTTTTTCTACTAGTCTACCAATCCAATGTGTATGTTTAACATAGTTAATGATATTCAATTCTTGATTTTTTTTAATGTTATTTAATTTTAACTTTATCAGTTATAATATTTTATTATAAAATCAATTTTGGGTCTGTTATTGCACATCTTACAAATGTATATACAATTTAAGTACAATGTAATATATACATATTTATGTCTTTTAATTTTTTTTATTTTTTTTTTATAAAACTTGAAATATTTTCAGATGTAACTGGATCATATTTTAATATATAATTTTAATTTAATAATTATGATTCATAGACGCAGACTTGCCATTTTGATTAGGAGGGACAATGAACAAAAAAAAAAAAAAATAAAAGATGAGAGTTCATATGTGTGAAAATTCACCATAATAATTGTGAAATGAACAAATATAATACTGAATATTTAAAAATGAATTTATATAAATATTTGTGTAGTTGTAGGATATATCCGAAAATACCTGAACAAAACAATTGGACATATTACATATACATTAAACTTGGAGGGAAAGAGACAGTCTCCATAACATGTGTACATTTATAGAACTTTTTCAGCTAAAAATGAATAATATTAAAAACTGAAAAATATTTTTGATTTCTTATTTTGTGCAACCTTAAAATGAAAATACAATGTTTTCACAGTCTATTTACATAAAAATGGTGTCTGTAAGATATATTTATATTCATACTGATTAAATATATTTTTTCAACTTTGCCACAGAAAATGTGATAAGAATATCATGTGAGAATGGAGGGATACACACGATGGATGAATGAATCATAAAATCCTACGGTATGAGGTTGTTACTATATATTATTATCTTTGAATATAAATGAAAATCTAAATAAAAGGAAAATTTAGGTTGTGGTAAAATACCTAAGTATTGAAGTGGTATATAAAGTAAAATACTTTTAGAGCATAGCCTAGCCAGCTAGTTAACTTTTCCTGTTTTCTTAATCAATTTTAGTTTACATATTTTATTCTTTCACGTTGCTTATTTATTTTTTGTTTTAAGAATTTTATTTTTACTTCAAATCATCAAGTGGGTGAAACAATATTCTTGTCCCCTCCTCTCCCTGAAGTCTGCGCCAGTGATTTGATAAAAAACAGATTTAATCTAAATCAACCCAAAATGTAGTAGCTTAGTTACTATCTTTAAAAATTGAAATTTTTAAAAATATTTATTTAGTAACTATAGAGTTGACTTATTTATTTAATTTTTTGATTTATAGAAGTTTTAAAATTGTTTTCATTTTATAATTTTAATTATTTCAAAAACTGAAAAAAAATCACTTAGTATAATATATAAAATAAAATGTTTTCATAAAGAATATAAAAAAAAACTTATTCTTCTCATACAACATGCATTGATTAGTTAATAATTAATTAGAATACTTATTATTTTCAAGTATTTGTGCTTATATATAATTTAATTTACCTTGTATACAAAACAATATTGGGTCAGTATTAATATCGGTTGGTAAAGCTCCAGTTACAGTAAAACCTCAATTAACCATACTTCACATTAACTAAACTGAATATTATGAAGAAAAAACAAAAAACAGTACAGTCGAATATTTGTAATTTAAATATTGAAGGCCCTTAAAACAAATTGATGAATAGAGAGATTTATTAGTTTATAGTTTTGACTTTTTTCATTAATTATTCTCTTCTCACTTCTTATCCATAATTCCACTTTAATAAATATTCATTTATAATTTATTTTTCTATTATTTTTATTTAAACGTTTCAGGGATATGTTGTCCCTCCCTTTAGCATATAATTTGCCCCAGTAATGAATAAGTCATAGAATAAGCTTGATGAATGACAAAACACTCAACCAAAAAGACTTAAGTCATATTATAGTGGTCGGGAGCCAAAATTTTGGACAAAAAAAAAAAGAAGTTTCAAATTCAGTCCATCTTTTCAAAAGATACCGCCATGAAGAGAGGTTGATTTTATTTGCCTTAACAAAAAGAATAATTGTAAATTTTTTTTGTATGCATCACTAAATGACAACAACTAACTTATGATACATTTTTTTCACCTCTATCTATCCAGGCTGGGTGATTGGTACGAAAAAAAAAAAAAAAATACCGCTTACCTATTAATATATAAACTATTATTAATAATAAAGCTCAGTTTATAAAAATTTAGTCAGGAACAAAAGTATATTTTATCTTATCCTACTTTGTAATAAAAAAAAAAAAAAAAGCTATCTTTGCCATTACAATCCTTGAAGGGTCTTGGGTTCAGTACTACTTAAGGAAGTATTATTTAAAGGCCAACAATTGCGCTGGTAGGTGATTGGGCCAGGTTCATACTCAATTCCCAGGTTTTCACCCTTAATTAATTATTTAATTAAGAGTACTCCCGACCCCAGGGTTGATCCACGGCTGATGAAAAGTTACTTGTCATCAAGACGGACTCAAACCTGTGATCTTGAGCTTTGGAAGTCAGTGCTTATCCACTGAGATATCCCACTCTCAGCTTTCATGAAAAACGATAATAAATTATATCCATCCATAGTAAATAGCATAACAACATATAAATTCATTTCCTTTGTCATTTATAGCCAAGTAATTTTTTAGAAACCGGAAAAATAGTTAAATTATCAGATGAAAGATGACAAGTTTTTTGCAAAAATAATTGGAAAAAATCAGGGAATTCCAAAAACGTTTTTGGTAGACGCCCTGAAAAAGAATGCAGAATCAGTAAGGCCGACTGTGCACAGATATATAATTATCTATAGATCTAAACATTTGTTACTAAAAAAAAGGAGGTTCTATTAACCATGCTATTTGATTATTTGTGCTTATACCCTTAATCCCAGTTAATGGAGATTTTACTTTGCTTAAGAATCCTTTTTTGTATAATAATTCACCAAAAGGTCCAATCAAAACTTATCTAAATATGCATATAGAAATTCTCTATTCACTATTCAAGGGAAAAGTAATTCACATAAATTTTACTCTTTAATGTATATACTCCATTCCAACTGAACAAACCTTACTATGATTTTAAAGAAAAGTCAATTTGATTAAAAATAATGTTTTGTTTTTAAAATATATAATTTAAATCTCTTGACAATCGTATTACCTGAAAAATCCTTCTCATTCTTGTTGGAACACATGATAATCACAATTGTTACTATGGCCAATAAGTAGTTAATATGTTTGCATAAAATTATTTACATAATCTGGACTTGAAGAGCTCTATAATTTTGATGAAAGCTATTTTATATCTTTTCACAATTAGTCACACAACCAAGTTGCTCCTCCAACAGAGACGTATAGTGAATTTCATTAAAAATTGACGTCTAACAGTATATCTAACTTTTTTTTCTCTTTTTTTTTTTAATGTTTTTTAATTTTTTTAAATGTATAAAATGACATTTTACTAATTCGATTAAATATCACCGCAACACACTCATCATGAGCTTTTAGTGAAACGCTCACTTATAATAAATACACTTTTGTACTTAATAAATTATCATTTCCGATGTAGGCCACCATGGCATAACTTCGGTATAACATTCATATCGACAGCCATCGACTAGACTAGAGTGTTATGAGAATAATTGCCTCAAGCATCGACCAAACCACTGATTGGCTTGATGCTGACGTTGTTGAGAAGAGCTGTTTGGTCGGAATCGGCGGCAGCTTGGGCCTCCTCTTCTTCTTCCTCTTCTTTCACGGTCTCCATGATCCTCTCTCCTCCTGGTTGGGGTGAGGCCTGAGGAGTGAATACACCTCCTCCTCCGCCTTTACCTATCAGGTAATATGTCATCAGCTGGCCTTTACCTTTTACAGCAACCAGGCCTCTTTGTTCAAATGTATATCCAAAGGACTGCAGTATTTCACATGTTTCAGCAGTCACCTAAAAGAAGATACAGTTATTATAAGCTATGCTTGAGCCAATTTAAATTTATTATTTATATACTTTTAATCCTGAAAAATCTTTAGGAATGTCAAATGAAGGGTAAACAATGCTATGATGAAGCCAGTTCTTATTTATGGCTCTGAGACAAGCATACTTAACAGCACACTAGACAGAAGTATTAAATTTGAGAGGAAAATATTCTACAAAATATCTGAAGCCTTCTGGGATCACAGTACGGTACTTATTTAGTAGCGGGTAGCGTCAAAACCTCCCTTCTTATCTAATCTCATTTCAAATAACCTCCCTTATCTCATCTAACCTAAGTTATTCCTTTGTTTATTTTTTTATTCTTGTGTTAGCTGTGAGTTAGTGTTATTTAATTATGGATGTTGTCACATTGTGGGAATTACTAATACAAGGAGAAGAAAGACCAATAACGAACTGCTTTCAGAAACTGGTCAATCAATGTGAGGTTAAGATGGGTGGGGTATATAATTCAGAGCAATCCATTAGTAAGCCTGTATGCAACAATGAATTCGTAAGTAGTATGCAAGAGACCACTTGGAAAATCAAAAAGATGGGTACATAAAGATGCTGTACAGTTGCATGAAGATAACTGAAAAGCAATAGCCCAACATAGGCAGGGATGGAGAAGACAGCAAAAGATCTACAAGGTCTGTAAAAACAACAGAAAAAAAACTGTTTAATCAATTTTCTTTCTTTGAGCAATAATTTTGTTGATTAAAAATAACCACTAATCATTTGATCCAAATTTCTCTTATTTATCTGACTATGATATAACCACAAGAAGGTTAATGTATATAAACTGCCCGTTTGAAAGAAATGTAACAATTTATTGAAACGGCTTGCATGATTTTTCTATGCCTCAAATTACTCATTCAGATAATGTGAATGTTGTTGTAAATATCGTAATTCTAGTTTTTAGCTTATGATTTTTTGTTATAAACTACATGAAATAAAATTTATAATTATTTTAATTTTATGAAATAAATTTACCTGGATACACCCTGCTTTTCCTGTGCTCTCCATCCGAGAAGCTACATTGACTGTGTTTCCCCAAATATCATAATGAGGTTTCCTGGCACCAATGACTCCAGCAGTTATAGGCCCATGGTTTATACCTGCAATATAAAATTTGTAAATTATAAAATTCTAGAAAAGATGCTTTAGCGTTAGAAGATCAACTTTCACCAAATTCCCGAATAAATGTAATGTATTGATGGTTGAACAGCTACTAAAGCAAGACGTAAATGTTCTGGGTGTCGGTCCAAAATACTTCAGATAGTGGTAGTCTATAATATCTTGTTGGCAGAATAAATGTTTTAGACATGAAATATTGTAATAAAAAATTGAATCATTGAATGTTAAAAGGGCTCTAAAAGACTACTGCTTGTGGGCTAAATCCAATAAATGGTAAAATTTTTAACATTATTAAAGAAATATGAAATTTAATAAATCATTCAAATACGAGGTTACAAAAACCTTTAGAGGAAGTTTTTTGTTCTCTTAGAAAGCTTATGTAGTACTGAAAATGAAGTAAGTTAGACAAATAGGTCAGTGTATTTAAGAGAAAAAAATCACCAAAATATTCTATTATTTTTATATATTTTTACAGCATATGGTGGATGACTCATGTGGAAATGTCTATTTCTCAGCTTCTAGAAAGGTGCTTGCAACTGTGTATATGCTTTTGAAACGAATTAGTACTAAAACTGAAAATTATATAAAGTCTGCAAATCACAAAAAGCTGCATTACCCATTTTTAAGACGAAGTGGTTGAAACTCTGTTCATTTATGCTTTGTAATGCTTTTTTTAATTCTAAAGCAAAATCTACTAAGAGAGCTAGATGGGCCCATCGCACCTCTGTTGGATCATCAGGCTGAAAAAATAATATATATATATCATTTTAAAAAATAATATAAACATAAATAATTAATTAAAATAATACATCAATTGGCATACCTTAACAACTCTTGTTGGATTGAGACCGCTTGCAGCCATGTAAGTTGAACCAATGGTTTTTATTTTTATAATATCTTGAAACTTAGGAAGTTCAAGTAACTGAAAAATTTGGATTAACATTTTAAAAATTATTATTCAAATTACATAATAATTTATCGATATAAATGTAATTATAGGAATACATTAATAATGAAGAATTTTTCAAAGAAAGCTGTTCTATGAGAAGGGATATACAGCCGTGGTCATAGAAATTATATCACCTATTTCTTTTGATTCTTATGTTGATAATGTTGATTCGATTGAAGGTTTTTGTTTTTCTTTACTTATTAAGGTTACAAGAAAAGTTTAACAATGTTTTTCAGTTCATTTTTAACTAATGCCATTAAAAAAGCAGTAATACCTGTATCAAAAACTGCCCTTGTCAGAAAATATTAAAATTGTGACATTGCATGACCTAAAGGAATTTTCATGGGAAACAGTAATGAGGATAGTGTACCACAAATCAACAGTAGTAATAGTTATTAAAAAAAAAAGAAAAAAAAAAAGCACCATGGAGGGAAAGAAAGAAACTGGGAGGAGAAAAAATCTAGCGAACAATTTGACCGTTCAATGGTGTGATTGTTTTTAGAATATTATTTCAAAATTGGCAAAGAGATATCCGGAGATTTTACAAAAATAAAATTTTCATAGGGTGATGCAATTTCTACGATCGCAACAGTACATATCGATAGGTTGAGATCTTATTTGGAGGTAGACAGAAGATTGCAAGAGGAAGTGGCCTAAAGTAAACTTTCTAGTGATTACTATAATAAAATGAATATGATATAAAAATTTAATTAAAACTCATACTTACTGCATCAAAGTCTGAAATGACTTCATTTAAAAACCTCAAACATTCAAGTCCTTGATTATTAACAGTTTCTTCCGAATAGAAATCTAAAAAAAAAAATATTTCTTTACATAAGTATTTAAAATATTATGCATATTTGACAAGTAATAGTAATAAATATAAATATAAGATTGCTAAAACTCCCTCCCTAGATCCATTACCACCCTTCCTTCTTTAATTATTAATGACTGACCTATCTCCTTCACATCCTCTGTAAAAAACTTAGAAATTCTCATTAAAGAAAACCTGTCCTGGAAGCCTCATATAGCCCATAACTCCAGAATGACTATTGTTCTCTTAAATTATTCCATCGTTCACATCATCATCTTCCACAACCTATCCACAAGCCCCCAAATGAAGAGGAAAGCACCAATCATTGACAAACTTGCTACCGAGCTATTAAAAAAAGGGGCAGATCAGCTTTTCCAAGCCTTACAAAACCTCCTTGTTTCGATATGGACAGAAGAAGTCATCCCAAAAGCATGGAATAAGACAGTTTTATGCCCTATTCACAAGAAGGGAGATCTTCTTGAATGCAATAATTATCAGGGTATATCTCCACTCCCAGGCGCCAACAAGATTATCTCAAACATACTGTATCAAGGATTACTATAGCATGTTGAGATAGTTCTGGGGAAATATCAGTGCGGCTTTCATAAATTCAAGTCTACAACAGATCAGATTTTCGCCCTACGAACCATACTTGAGAATGGAAGGAAATACCAAATACAGATGCACCATCTATTTGTTGACCTTAGATCTGCTTATGACAGCATTCAATGTCAGGTCCTATATCAGTCAATGAAAGACCTCAATGTACCGGTTAAGCTTATATGGCTTGCAAAACTTACAATAAGAAATACTGAGTGTATTGTGCAGATTCAGGGAGATCTGTCTTAGGGATTCACATCTCATAATGGCATTCAACAGAGAGATTCCCAAGCCTGACTGCTCTTCAATATTGGTCTGGAAAAAGGCGTCAAAGAATCAAAGGTTCAGACCAGTGAAACCATCTTTAATCATATGGTACAAATCTTGGGATATGCTGATGATATCGACATTATTGGGAGATCAAAATTTGTAGTGAAAGAAGCCTTTCTTGCCCTTGACGATTCTGCTAGGAATCTAGGACTTGTTGTTAATACTAACAAAACCAAATATATGACTACTAATCAACAAAGAGATATTAATGAAAGCTTTGTCCAAATTGGTAACTACTCTTTTGAATGAGTTGAGGAGTGTATGTTCCTTGGATCTCTGCTCAATACCACAAATGACGTTTCGGCAGAGGTAAGGAGGCGAATAGCATTGGCCAATAGGTGTTATTTTGGACTGCATCGGCACTTAGGAAGTAGCTCATTCTTAGTCCTTCATTTTTGCAGTTTGGCCACTTGACCCTGATACACCCTGTTTACAATATATATATATATATATTTTTTTTTTTTGTTCTCTTTACTCACATTACAACTGTAACTATTCTTGAGAAGATTCTGTTTTTAGTTTTTAATACCCGCAGATTATTTTTTAAACTACTGTATATATTAGAATTTTTATTCCAGCCAGTTGTTCATTGTTTTAACACCAAAATTTTTTTTTTCTCCAAGTTTTGATTTTTCTTTCTATATAAATATAAAAAAAAAATACCTGTACCACTACAATCCATGAACGGTCTTGGATTCAATACTATTTAGGGAAAGCACTGTTTCTAGGTCAACGGTTGTGCAATGAGGTGATTTGACCGAGATCACGCTCAACCGCTAGGTTTTCCCCCTTAATCAATTATTAAATAAGGGTACCCACTTTATAGAGGCTGGGTGTGCCCCAGGAGGGTCTCCCGACCCAGAGTTGCACCACAGCCAATGAAACAGATACTAACAGATTTCTTTATTTATTGCATTAAGTTGTTATTTTTATTTTATCATTGTTTACTTAATACTTTGTTACCGTTACTTTATAGTTCCTAAGTTTATATATATAATATATATATCACATATTTCCCATTATTATTTATATATGTTATGTTTAGCTACTGATACATACTAGTGTAATTATTTGTTCACTATTTAAATATACAAGTTTAATTTATAAAATATGTTCATGTATTATCACACAGACGATTTTCTTCATATCATTTTTATTTTTTATTTCTTTCTCCATCTTATCATAACATGTTGTTATCTTGCCTTTGTTCAGCCCTGATCAAGACCTAAAACTTAGGCCGAAGCATAGCTACAAAAAAAAAATTTCTGTGCACTAACTGCAACCACACCCATTATTAAATGAAACTGCAGTCAATGATTTCAAAAACACAATAGAAAAGTAAATTAACGAATAATTTAATATTCATCAGAATTTTTTAAAAATTTGTTTATTGAGGAATATTACATTCTATCTCAATTAAGGACATTTATAATAGAGATCAGAGAGCACATCTACACTATATCTACCTGAGAAATTAGGCATTGAAGCGAATAATACTCCAACTTCTGCATAGCTCTGAGAATACAACTCCTCATGCTGACGCTTTCTGCTGCCTAAGAAGTGAACGGCAACATGAGGTGGTAGTATATTATACACTAGGGCCTCATTTCTTCTGCCCATATCACTGGCTCGTTCACGCTGTTCCTCAGCTTCTGTCTTCCATAGGAAGAGTACCCGAGAGGCACATTCCATCTGTAAAAAAAAATTATATTTGATTAATATGTAAATATTTTGAGGAAATTTAATTAATTATATTTTTATCTTAAATATTAAATACATTATATTACATTTTTGCAATCTTATTAAATAAAAGAGTTCTTTTTTGGTCTGAAAAGATTTTGAAGTAAATACCAGTGTGATTTTAGACCATGTAAATCAACTGTAGACCAAATTTTCTCAATGAGGCAAATGTTGGAGAAAACATGTGAGTACCAAATAGTTTTACATCACATTTTTAAAGACTTTAAATGGCATATCGCTACTGTTAGTGCAATATGTCATATGTAATATTTTTACATGTTTATTCTATTTGTGCTAAATGTGACATTTTGTAGTCTGCAACTGCAATAAGTAGTCAGCTTTCTTTTATGGATAATAGCAGAGAAAAATAAAATTTGAAATTGTACTAATAAATCATAAAGAAATAATCAGTTTCTATGCTCCTCTGTAAAATTTTTACAAATGACCTTTTGCACCAACAGTAGCAATATGACAGTATAAGCAACCATAATGGCCATCTTATTCTTCTCTCACTATCTCCTGCGTGCTACTAAGCCTGGAGTAGCTACCTCTGACCATCTTGTCCAACAGTCTTTGTCCTGTGCAAGCCTTCTCATCTCTGCCATGGTGCTTCCACTTGCTGTGCCAACTCTCTCAATCAAGTCTGCATACATAAGCCTTGGCCTGCTTTGAAGTTGCCTTCCTCCTGGTCTTGCTTCTAGAAGCCATCTGGCCTTACGCTCATCTCCCATTCTGTTTACATGCCCGTACCATTTCAACTGCCTTTCTCCAATCGTCTCTAGGATGGATCTAACTCCTAGTTCATCTCGCAACCTTTCATTTCTTATTCGATCTGGCCTGGTTTTTCCTAATATTTTCCGTAGGAATCTCATAGGTGTCGGTATGCTCAAGGCTATCCATTGCAAGTAATTCTAAGATCCTCCTTCCTTTGTCCAACACACATAACCTTGCTTATGGAGGGATTGTTGTAGTTATTCTTGCCACTCATCCATAGCGACCTGGATGATTCAGCAGTATCCGCAACCAATACCACATCATCTGCTTACAACAATGCCTGTGTCAACACTGGGATCATATTCCAGTATCCCACTATTGCTCTGCTTTTACAAAATTTCTAAATGGCATCCATGAAAATTATGAACAGTAGGGGGCTCAGGCTATCGCCCTGTTTAACTCCCCTAAAAAATGGAATGACCTGGATTCAGTGCCGGCTAGCCTTATTACTCCCTTTGGGTCTTGGTACACTGACTTGATTGTACTAATAAGATTTTGTGGGACAATAGGATAATGGACATCAAATGATCAATTTCTGTGAATCACAGAATCTCATTGCTGGTAGATCAGATTTTCTCACTACGTATTATACTGGAACGAAGCAGAGGGTATTGAATCCATACACATCATCCATTTGTAGACTTCAAAGCTGCTTATGATAGTATACTACATGAACCTCTTTATCATGTGTAGAGGGAAGTAAACATCCAAGAGAAGCTTATTCGATTGGTTAAATTAACCATGGCCGAATCAATGTATGTGGTGAGTGTAGAATAGAATAGAATAGAATAGAATTGAATTTATTTGTTAAAGATTATTTTACAATCTTGTACAAATCATACATATATGAATAACTTTATTTTACCTACATGAGTCTAGTTTATCATAACTGTACATTGACTTATTATAAAAACAATAACTAAACAATTATACTTCATTACATTCCAATTAATTTCTATATACATTATCAATAAAACCAAAAAAAAAGAAAAAAAAAAAGAAACAAACAATTAATTGAACTGACCAACAATTATCCTAAGTCATAGCACTTGGTTGGTGTGTGGAACATCAGAGCTTAAGGAATCCAGTGAATTGCATGCTGACATTATGAACCAGTAAATTTTATTAAGTTTCTCTATGTTATCGATTCGAAGAATGTCTTGTATCTTGTTTACATCACTTGGCGCAGAGAGAAATGCTCGTAAATGTTTGTGTCTGTCGTCTGTTAGCTTTTCACAGTACAGAAGGATATGGAACAGGCTATTAGTAATGAATTGGCTACAGAAAGTACAGATTTCCTGGGCTTTGAAGTAGAAACTTTTGTTTTTCGTATAGAGCTTAATTAATTCGGGATTTGAAACCCTTAACTGACTTATTGATCTTAGCTTTTTCATGTTAGCTCTATACATCAAATAGGACTCTGGGCTGGAAATATTGAAGCTGGTAATAGTTCTATACATGGGATTGTTGTTGGAATTAATGAATAAATGGATGTTCTTAGATAGGTTATGGTTTTTTAGCTTTTCCAATATTTCATCGCTGTATTTTAATAATCCAGTTGGGTATACTTTATCGAACTCTTCTTTACAGCCATAATGAGCAGCTATTGATCTGACTTGTGTGATCCAAGTATGTGGTGAGTGTACAGGACGAATTGTCAAAGATGAGCTTTGTAACAAATGGCATGAGACACTGAGATACGCTGGCATTTCTGCTCTTCAACATTGCATTAGAGAAAACGGTATGAGATTCGCGGATCCAAATAACAGGCACAGTATTTAATAGAATGGTTCAGATCCTTGGTTATGCGGATGATCTAGATATTGTCGGTAGATCCCAGGCTGCAGTTCATGAGACCTTCCTTGTACTGGAAGCAACAGCCAACATCACGCGGGCACAGCAGTGCCCACGAGCTCTACGTTGGGAACCGCTGGTCTAGGCATTTAAAACTGTATTTTCTTATTTTATTTTTTATCATATACAATCATAGTTTACATTTCGATGTAATACACCTCATCATTAGAATCTTATTTCAAAATTGATAAAAATCATATTAAATAGTGTCGAATTTAATTTTTTTTTTTTTTGGTTAATAATTAGTTCTGTTATAACTCAGTACACTGGATATAAACAACACAAGGTACATTTTTTTATTGTTCAAGAGAGCCAATTTTCCATAGCTTTGAGCTATTAAAATTTGTTTCTTTGTTACTAAATTATTGAATAAAAAAACGGACATGGCGTTATTTATCTCCAGTGCACAGAACTAAAGACTCAGTTATAAGAAATGAAACTTTATAACTGTTCAACTTACATGTCTCATCAACACCATTAATCCAATACAAATCATTCCCAGCATTACGGACACTGTGTATTTTCCTGGTGTAATCCTAAACAGAAATTTTTAAAATAAAAAAATAATATTGATGAATTGTGTTATTTAAAAATATAAGAATAACAGAATTGGTTATTATCTAAATCAGTTTACCTTGCTGGATCAGCTGGAAAAGATAAATCTTCACAATCAAGAGCCTTCCTTATTAGATAAAGGTTTCCAAAAGTGTGCGTATCCACAATTATAAATAATAATGCTGCCTTCATGATATGAGAAAGTTGAAATGGGAGGGCTGCAGCTATCTGTAGAAAAAAACAACAATCTAAAGGTAACAGAAAAAACCAAAAATGTTTTAATACACACTGTAGGTCTTCATGAGTGTAAAAAGGATAAAAGTATAAAAATGGAGTACGAAAATTACAGAAATAAAAACACAAAAATAAGATCACAGAGAATAAAATAAATAACAAGAAAGTCAAAGATGAAAATAATAGTAAAATGTATAATAACATACAAAGTAATAAATAATAAATAATGAAAGTAATAAAAAATATAGTAATAAAAGATAAATAAAAATATAAGGTAAAAGGAAATATAGTAGGAGCATAAAAGAATAGAGATGAGAAAATATAAACAAACTAAATGAAATAAAAGGATACTAAAAATATAAGAGGATATAAAGTTGTAATGAATAAGTTGATAAGGAAATGAATATGATGATAAAACAAAAATTAGGCTTTAAAGAGAAAAGGATAGAGGGAAGGTTTTAACGGTATTTAAAAAACATCTCTAGAATAATATTAAAAATATAGAAATAGAACACTAAAATATTGGCATTAAATAAATAGTTCCTAATATGTATTCTGATGACAAACTTTTTTTTAAAATTCTTTCATGAATACTAAACTTCTCTGCCTTCAGTAGTGAAGAAATAAAATAATTTATTTGTAAAAATTGTATTCATTACATTTTAACAAAATAAATAAATAAATTGATTATTACCAGAACAAGTACTGCCATATGTGAGAAATAAGATGGGTATAAGCAAGCTTCACCGGGGTCATCACTTGTCGAACAGTTGGATGTATTGCTCCCCACTACTATACACGAAGTCTAAAAAATAATTATTATAATTATCTCTCTTTTATATAAAAAAGGTTTTTAGTGATTGTCATATTCTATTTTACATGTACAAAGAGCAGTGAACAGTAATGAAGACGCCACACTTCTTATTCTCAACAAATTTAACACACTAATCAAAGAATATAAACAAACCATTTATATAAACAAACATTAACAAAAATCACACACTATACAAAACATTTTTTTTTTGTTCTTCCCTTCATCGGCCAGGAGGTGAGGACAGGGGAATAATATCAGAGTTAAAACTCCCTCCGGCACTGGGACTAAAAGTCATACTTATTCTATCAAATTCTATCTTTTATCAGGTTGCCGGGCAACCCGGTGCTGTACATACGCATACCACTAGACCACCATGTCCTCTTTATACAGAATATTTATAATAAAAACAAACTAACACAATGTACACTATTCACAAACAACTAAAGGGGTTTGTCTGCCATTAGGCAGACAGAGAGTACCACCTAGTTTTTTTAAAAATATTTATCAAATTATATTTTGACCTCGATTATATCGCAGCCTGAGGGTGAATTCATCAACACAAAGTTGAAACACATTTTGTTTTTTCCCGAACTCTCCGATATTTATAAAAAATATTTATAAATGTATATATAAATTAAAATATAGCTATATGTGTTTATATTTTAAATATTTTGTAGAATAGAAGAATTAAGGAAAAACAAAATGTGTGTTTAAACTTTGTATCCCATGAATTTGTCCTCAGGTGCCCAACTAATCGTGGTTGAACTATATTTTATTTACCATATTTTAATAACATATTTTTATAATATATTAATTAATATGTTTTCAGAAATTCTGTCACCAAATAACTGACATGAATGTAAAAAAAAGAAGCAAAACAATAACATTTAAAAAAAAATCGTTATATTTTTTTATTTTTAACAAGTACTGTCTGAAGGGGTATATTACAAAGCGTTTTGACAATGGAACAGCATAAATTAAAATGTTTTAAAAAGGAAAATAGGCCGAAAGATTACAAAAATAAAATACTATTTGAAAATGAGAATTTGAAGTGTTGCAGTTAACAACATACACAATTAGAGTTGGTTATATACATGGGATTGCTTATTATGTTGTACATGAAAATTCATAAATTATTTTTCTCACATGTAATTATTAATTAGTTTCATTTATAAAAAATAATCCAATTTTTTTTTTATTCATCAAACCATTATCATCATTAATCTGGAATTTAAGTATTTTTTGATTTTCTATCAAATATTTCGATACACGAAATCATTTGTTTTTTCACAAGTAAGAGACTTATTGGTCAAAATGGAGAATTATTAATGTTTACCTATGATCAAGAGTACATTTTTATTCCCTGGCTAGTAATAAATGATATAATAATAATAAAGTAATTTATCAAAACAAAAAAAATCAAAGATATAGTAATTTATAACAAAAAGTATTTAGATACATGATTTAAAGAATTAAAATTATTATACTTATAATTATCAACTGAAAAAAATATTGTTCGATTTATCAAAATAATTACAAATGATCGTCTATTTAAATAATTTTGTTTGAACTATTGTTGGATTGATAAAAATAATCACAAAAGATATTTCAAAATCTCATGGATTGAAAAAAAAAATTAAATTATTACTTCCATTTTTAAGGATGATAAACGATATTTGCAATACTGTATTTTTAAATTACTGTGTCCTGTTTAGAACAATTAAATTTTAAACTTACCATATCAACAAAGTTTGCAAAATTGATTACAAGTATGAACACAACGGCTAAAAGACGTCTCATAATGACAGAATAATTCATAATTTTGCTGATGTACAATAGCTGTTCGGGAAAGATCTGAAAAAAAAAAAATTAAAATAATATAAATATTCTATACTTAGATTTTGTTTAATTTATTAATCTTAATGGCTATTTTTTATGATAAATTACATCAACAAATTTTAATTGATATCTTTTTTACATTATTTTATCAAAGCTTGATATACTTACATTTGGAAAGGCCTCAGCTATTGTGAAGAGCGTTATTATAATTAGAAACCATGAACTGATTCCTACTGACATGATGCTTGTTGAGTCACTGAAAAAAAAAATAAAATATATATTTCAAACATTCTGATTCTATATTAACTTTTCATCTAAGAAAGAGATAATGTTTAAAAAAAAAAAAAAACATAAGAAATTAAAAAACCTACAAGCTGGAAACTAACCAATTTCGAACTCTCAGCATTTTGAACCAAACATCCTTCATGGAATGTAGTTACACAGTTTTTTTTTTTTTTAATGTTGTACTCAAAAGACTTAATTTATCTGTGCTTTTAAAAGCATTTTACATAATGTCAACATTGTCAAATTCATCACAGTTTCTCCTACGAACTTTATAAACCAAATCCTTTACTATTTTTATTCAATGTTGTACAGTATCAGGATTCAGGGTTAAATATTTTTGTAGAGGGGTTTTTATAATGGTAATTACTCTGAAATAAATAAAAATAAACCACATGAAATGAAGTTTAAGTGATCCTTGAAGGCCTTTTCAGCTGCTTACATTTAGTATGTAAATGGTTTTTAATTTAAAAATAAAGTTCAAGTAGTTAGCTCACAACCAGACCACTCACAGAAACAATTATAGACTAATGAAAAAAAAAATCCTTTTTGGGGTGGGGACGTTTTGTGGATAATACTCTATTATACCAATAATATTTATTCTTTCATTAAACCTCTATAAACAAATGATTTCCTAAGATATTCAGACTGATGTATAATTACTTGGGTAGTATGAATGCCTGTGCTATTGATGTGAGTATGATGACTAGAGGGCAGCCTATCAGTGATATACTGCTGAAAGATTCAGTATTGTGTGTGTAGTTGTATTCTCTCTGCTTATCCTTGAAAGACCTCGTTACAAATGACGTATGCTTCACCAAATCCCTGAAATGAAACAATTAACAATAAATTAATGAGACTATAAAAAAATACAAAAATTATTGTTTGTATATTATTGGAATATTCTAAAGACAAAGCCTTTAATTTCCCAAATACCAGTAAATAATTAATCAGTAAAGGTTTGACCAATTCAGACATCATCAATGTTCAAAAGGATAAGATTACTTAAATACACATCAATTATTCTAAAAAAAAAAACTAACTAAATGGAATAAGCCTATTTCTGTAACATAGTGTAAGATATATTGTTCAGAAGACATTTAAATTCAAAGTGGAGTAAGTTGATTAATTTTCATTTTGAGACAAGAAAACAAAGTTTTATTAGATTTATTCTGAGGTATAGACTATTTTCTTCAGAATCTTATCTGAACGATACAGGAAGTTGTGAAAAGGTCAGTCAAATGTCTTCTATCCCGAGAAGCCAAGCTTGATCTATACAAGGCATTAATCAATCCAGTACTGTTTTATGGATCAGAAACATGAGTAATGATTAAAAAAAAAAAATGAGCAAGACCTAGTCTTTGAAAGTAAAATTCTTTGAAGAATTTTTGGAAGAGAAGTTTAAGGAGGAGGAACTGAAGAAAGTGTACAAAAATTGAAATCTATGCAAGACTGAGGCTTGAAGACTGAGATGGGCTGGCCGATGGAGCTAGGGTGGAGGATGAAGCATTCCCTATGATGGTTCTAGAGGAAGCTGGTGGAGGAGACCAAGGCTTGTCAATGTGTTATAGCACCAGATAGATAGTGTAGTAGACATTGTGTGAGGGAATGAGAAGGAATATATAACATATAGAAATGTGAGGTTGCACGATGAATTGTACTCAATTATGCAGTGGACAAATTTTTCATGGAAAAGTCTCATATCGATAAACAATTGATGAAGAAGGACACTGGAAAAAGGTCAGAGCAGGTAGCTGGCAACAGATGCAGGAGGACGCCGAGAGAGAGAAGGGCACTTGAGGCTGTAACACGGAGGCGTGAGGACTTGAGGCTTGGGCACGAAGACGTCATCTGGGAAGAGAGGCTTACTACATTGAAGACTAAGAATATCAGGCCTACAGTTATAAGACTTTTATACATTAATTTATTACAGTTGTTAAAATAAATTGTTTTATTATACAGGAGTAAAAAGTCATTTTATTTAGTTGTCCTATAGGCCTCACAATTGAAGAATAATAAACAAGGTGAGTCAATTCATTCAAAGTGTATTTACTAAGTCCCACATTTCATATTTATATATTCTTATTATTTCTTGTCACTCAGTGTCACAAAGGTATTAGATTCCCAACAACAGTTAAAAACCCTCAAAAAGTCTATATTCAGTGCCGGGGTTTTGTTTTAATATTCAGGAGTGTAAATAACCTAGTTCCCCGTTAAAGCAGAAGGATATTCGCTATTCCCGCTAAAAAGAATATTCACATTTAACTCTTAACATGTTATTTACAATACATAGGCCATTTTCAGTGAGCACACATAGTTGGGGAAATGTTGAGAAATCGTAAGGGTGTTGAGCAACCAAATATTGAAGTTGGGCCAACTGTTTTTTAACTAATACAAATCTAAGGAACTGACATAGTTGTGATAATAGTGGATTTAGAATTTATTTTTTGAAGGTGCTATTTTTTTCATCGAAATTACTCTGGTAGATAATAAAAAAAAATGTATGGATATAACTTAATGCAAATATGCACTATAATTTAAAAAGTGAACATATCGTTATTGTGTAAGTATTAAGCTTAGATCATTCAATAATAATTCTGGTTGGCAGATGGTTGGATATAATGAAAAAAATATGTTGGCCCATTATTATTATAAGAATTTGAGTCATCTATTGGGAATGGTTGTTGGAGTGGCCAATCAAAGTGGCCAACCGTTATTAAATAACCATTTCCCAACATTGTGCCAACAATAAATGTTCACTAGATCACCTAGGCTTTGCTCTCCAGTTTTCTAGGGTTCATGCTAAAAAATCAATAAAATAGTAAATAATTAACATTTAGAGAAGTATATAAGTAGATGGGATTGGCAAAAACAAGAAACGAAAATACTTACCTAGAGGAACAACTGATTATGTAATTTGTGTTTCCCATAGTTTGTAAATGTCTGAATGTGCCTTAATATCAATTATGTATTTATAACATTCAAACATGAAACATTTTGTGAAAATGTATAAACATAGATTTGGATAGTTTTGAAATTCCATGACTTAGTTTTGTGATATACATTTATTTTTAATTTGCTATCCATAATTGTTTTAAATTTTATAATAGGAATTTTTTTAGTTATTTAAATATGTTAAATATAGCTAGATTATTTAAAGATATTTTAAATAAGTGTGATATTAATCAGTTGACTCACCTGTGTCCATCTCTATTCATGAGATCTTTCCTAAGTCTCTGTTTGAAATCTTCCGAGTCTTTTCTTCCTGTTCTCCCGCCATTGTCCTCGACTGGTGTTATCACTCCCTGAACAGATGGTATCTTATTGATCCTTAATTCTCCAAAATGAAGAACAATTTCAAGAAAGTAATGAAGCTGTTTATATAATTTATTAATTCTCACTTTTATGAAATTATAAAAAATCATATTTTGGATAAAAATTGTTCACATACATTTTCAAAACTTACTTCTTTATCTTCAAAAAAGTCTTCTAAATCTTTATCACTGTTGAAATCTTTCACATCACTTTGAGCATTGTACTGAAAAATAAAACAAGATACTTTACATTACAAAACAATTGTAATAATATGAATGGAATAAATATATTATTATACTTTGAAGATAATTGAAATGAATAAAGGAATTAATACATGAGAAATTTAATAACGAAGAGATATAAAAATAAAAATCTGGAAACTAATGTCTACAGATGTCTTAAATCAAGGGTGAAAAACCCAATGTATGGTTCCTTATAATGGGAGTTCAAATTTGGCAATTGGCCAGTAGATTAATAATTTGTTTATTCTTAGTTTTTTATTTAAAAAAAAATGAAGTTATTTTTTTCTGGGATGAAAGAGTATTTTAGACAGGTCATATTTGGTATATATAACAAAATTTATGTCATAGTTAATAAATTTTATTGTATAAATAATAGTTATTAACTGTAGCCAACGTAGTCAACTATATTCCTTTGAATATCTAGATTTTTAGCGTATTTATAGCTTATAATAATGTCAACAGCTTCAGAACTTTTATCCAAGAAATATTTTTCCACTTTTCTCCCATCCTGTATTAATTATTTCTAAATGTATCTTATTCACTTTTCTAAATACATACTTATGAAGTAGATCTGTGTGGAGTTTTGGAAGTATCGTATTTGATAAAAGTACACATCCATGCTACAGTGCACTCAGGCTACAACCCCAGTCCCCACCACAGCTCCAAGATGCATTATTATTTTATGTTTTTAGCTATATATGAATCTTATTTATTATTTAAAATGTACGATCTCAATTTTATAGATGTTCTTTTTCACTTGAGTTCTATTGCAATTCAAATTTAAGCAATTTTTTTTTAATGCAACGCAATTGAGTTACTCCATGTAAGATCAATATTGGGCCTATATTAGTGATTTTATAAATAATAATTTTGAATTGATTATGAGTCAAGTATGCTTAGAAATGTCATTTTAATAAACACATAAGATATTTTTTATCTAAACAATTTTCTTAATAAGATATGTACAGGTTAAATATTCTTAAGCAAACCTTAATTGGTTGAATATAATTCTTACATTGACTAGTTAAATTGTTATAGGGCTATTAAAGTACTTACAGGTACAATCGTTCTCACAATGAAGAATGTTTTGATTCCTGCCATTCTCAGTGTTTCTTCTCTTTTTTCACCATATGCTGGTTCTACTTCAAACTCCCCATTTAGAAAACTCAGCGTCTTTTCTGAGATATGTACCCTCCTATTACAAAAAATAATAATATTTACTTGAAGTTTTTCAGTCTATTTTTGTTTATTTGTAGAGATTATTGTTTATCCATAAGAAGAAGGAAATTTTTATAGAATTAATAGCAGACTTCAAGAGCTACAAAAATGTTCATGTAAACAAAGGGCCGATTTCAACAGAAAAGTAGGAAATCCAGGTTTTGTGTTTTTTTAAAGTAAGCCATGCTTGAATAGGAAGTGAAAACAAAAGAAACAATTAATTGAAGTAATTAACAATTGCATCTCTGTAAACTAGACATAATTTATTTTAAATGAAAATAGAGTTCACCTCTTAATAATAATATTCTTTTATTTATTCTGGTACGAATTCCTTTAGAATAATTAACAAGGACAGAAATGTGGGATTTTAAGCCTCAGATATATATATACATGTATTTACAAAGTTAAATAATAGATATAACAGAGAAAAAAAAATTAACTGCTAGATTAAATCGATTAAGAAAAAAAAAATAAATGAAAGAACACTGAGATGAAAATAATTGGAAATAAACTAATAATATATATATATATATATATATATATATATATATATATATATATATATATATATATATATATATATATATATATATATATATATATATATACATATTTACAGAAGTTTCTTTTTACGATTTTAGAGGAACTGGATGGGAAGAAAGTGATTGAATAGACAGGATTTAAAAGTAGGGAGATTATTGGACAGATGTCGGGAGGGATGGAGTTCCATACAGATGAGCATCTAATAATAAAAGATTTATCTAAAGCAGTGGTTCGGTGGGCCATTATACATAAATCTGAAGACCGAGAATGGGTATTGATGGAGTGGACAGAATATTTAAATTGAAGGAGCTCGGAGATGAATGAAGGACGGCGGGAGTGAATGACTTAGTCCCTCAAATTTGAAAAAGAAGTGTAAAAAATGAAATGAATCATAAAATCCTTGTATATGAAGATGATATAGTTATCCTTGGAGGCAATCAAGAAGACATTGAGAAATTCGCAAAGACTTAGATAATATAAGCTGAGAAAATCGGCCTGCAAGAAGATAATACAAAATATATGATTATAAGCCGAAAATTCCACCCCGATAACAGGATCTGCAAGAAGGAAAATAGTTCCAGAGAGTATAGTAATTCAAATACATTGGTTCCACAGTAACCTCAATGAATGACCAAAGGCGGGGACTAGGGTATAACAAGTGCAAACAGAGTTTTCTTCTCATTTTCAGAGGTATTGAAATCCTGAAAAATCTCAATTTAAGGGTGTAAAATACTATGATAAAACTAATTCTGATATATATACTGCCTCAAAAAAGTTTCTATACAGTTAGTTTTTCTTTAACATTGCTAAGAACCTGTTTATTATATTATTTTTATTAATTAGAAAGGCTAGTAGAGGCAAAGGTGTATCAATATGATAACAAGTTCATGCTGGATCACTAATCCCATACCAGAAAGAGATACAACTTTAACCTGAAAGTCAAAAAAGTTTCCATACATCTTCCTAATCCTGCCATAAATATTGTTATAAGCAAATATATACAGATCTCAACAGAAAAAATAATATTTTCAAAATTTATTTATTTTGAAAATAGAATGTATATCTATAGAGAGTAAAACAAAAAAGATATTACTCAAAATGTCCCCCTTTTGCCTTGACACAGGCATTTAATATCTGTCGCCAGTCATCAATAGCAGCACGCAGCACTTCTTGAGGAAAACGGTCAACTTTTAGATTGTTTGAGGCTTTTCAAGTTGGGGTGTACTCTGTGGCATACCATCCTCTCCAGTTCGGATCAAAGCCGATAATCTAGTGGGTTGAGATCATGGCTTCCTGAGGGCCAATCCGAGGAATTCCAGAAAACTGGAAAGAAATATCCCAAGGCACGGATGGAGAAGCCTGGTTAAGGCGGCAAAAGATCTACAATGGCTTTAATGCCAGCAAAAAAAAATCAAAAAGTTGGATATAGCTTTTATTATATCCCTCCTCAGTAATATTAATTTGAAGAATATTGCTTACGGATTCCAATAAATTTTAATAAAGGACTTATTTATAGTTTTTATATTAATAATATAGCTGATTATATAGAAGGCAGTGGCAGTTATTAGTGGATTTATCCAGCTTAGAGAAACGGGGAACTGCTTTAATTGAATAGAGAGTCTCTTCAATTATTCAGCCTGTCTGTGCGCCCCTCCCCTCGATATTAAATTTTAGTCTGTAGCACCATATTGGATTTCGGAGTACTGGGCTTCGGGCTGTAGCCACTCCAGTTCTCGGATATATTTCCCTCTCTCGTGTATTTATTCAAGTTTCATGAGATCAGCTTTTGCGTTACTGGAAGCTAACAGAGTGATAAAGTAAGGAAGACATCGCTCTTCCAAATGAATATTATGAAGTATTTATTTTATCTTATTATTATTATAATTAAGAAGAGTTTATTTAATCTTGTAAATTAAACCATTTTAATATTCATATTTTTAATTTCCAATGGAGTGATCTCTGTTTATAAATTGCCATTATCAATTATTATTTAAAGTTTAGCACATTGAAAACTATCGATAAATATTATTAAGATTCTATATTGGGTCCGGACATTAATGCAGGTTTGTGGTTTTAAAATAAATGATACGAAACTATTTTTATTAGGAAAAATATATATATTTGAATTTAAAAAAAACTGGCTACAGAAATCGGAAAATCCTATCCACACTAAGGGGATGTACTTCATATATTTACTTGAACTTCTTAGCAAATTAAAAAACAAATTTACATCTACTATTATTTAAACTTGGTGTTGTAGTCGGATGCCAACACATCCCGAACGAAATTCAGACTTTTGGATGTTAACATGTACCAATATAGGAATATACTAACTCTTATTAATGAGAGACATTTAATTATTTAGAATAAATCAAATTAAAGATACGTTAGAGGAAGACATATACATTTAATTTGGTTTATTTTAATAATTAACTGTATTTCATTGTTATTAGTAATAAAAAAAAATTCAATATCAACTATTGAAAGAATTTCGTTATTGTCTAAAGGAGAAAAAAGGAAACATGTTTTATTAGTTTGAAAATGAATTTTCGGAAATAACAGGTACAATGTATAGGTATAATATATGATTGGAAACGTGAGGATTTTAGGACGAACACGGTCGAACATACAAGGTCGTAGAAGATAATGGAGAGTTACGAAAACATTATAAATAATAATTTATGAAAATTAATATAGAAACCAAATGTACCCAGGGGAACTAAATGAAATTCCCAAAATTATTTTAAGTTCGAAATCATTATCAGCCGTATGTTCGTGTAGCGCACTATAAATAAATATAATGAGATCCTATCTGTATGTGACAGACCTCGATCGGGGCCGTCTCCGCACTGTGAGAACGGCAAATGCAGTGAGAGCAGTGGATGCTCGAATCAGAAGAAATTCCATTAAAAAACGACTAATCATGTCTCCGGAAATGGGAATCTCTGTCAGATCTATGTCTCGCATAATAAAAAGTGACCTTAAGATGGGTGCATTTCGAAGAATGACAGGACAAAGGATAACCACTTCCCTAAAAACGTTAGAGTGGATAGATGCAAAGTGCTCCTTGGCCGTTACACCAATGGTCTTCATCGAAAGATTTTGCTTAGGAATGAGAACATTTTTACAATTGAAGAAAAAGTTAATCATCAAAATGATCGTTTGTACGCACACAGAAGCCCGAGAAGTCATTAGAAGAGTGGAAAGAGGTCATCACCCTTCCTTCATAACCACTTTCCTAAAAAATAAATTTGGTTGTCCACTCACACCATTTTCCTAAGTATTTCAGAAAAGTTTTTATATCTTTACATATGACCTTTATGTCCGTAATAGCCTCCCAAATTTTTTAGCTGAATCCATCCAAAGGCTGTTAAGCAACGTTAATTAATTGACTATGTATGTGTATAAACCTAATTTGATGGGAACGTAAGATATGAGATTTTCATTATAAACCACCGATATTTTGAAGTTGTTTATCTCAAGCATCGTTCCTTCGAAACCGAAATAAACCGCAGGGCTTAACCTAATTAATACAGAATGAGCTCCCTCCTGTAATGGAAACAAGATAATAGTCTTGCTTAAATATATAGAATTAAATACTCTATAATATTGATATTTTACTAAGATTTTTAAAAATCAATTGTAAAATACTCAATATTTTGATCTTTAAAGAGATATCCATTGGTCATTTAAAATCTGGTGCGCGTATCACACAAATTTTATTTACCGCTCTACTTTGAGCAGAAATTCTTTTATGGCCAAATTTGGCTATTATAAAAAGTTCTTGAAGTAAATTTTTAATGGAGCTAAAATATAAATAACATATTTGTGTATTTCGGTCAAATTTATCAATGCAAAATTTCAAAAATATCAACAAAATTAAACCAATACAATTAAATATATTTATTATTCCGATTGTAGGCAGTAAAAACCTCATCAATCTATTTACGTTACATAAATCCAGTCATTGAGCTCTATATACCTAGTTCTGTCATAAATCTTGTTACAAGGAAGTATATACACATATTTCAACCGAAAAATAATTTTTTGAAATACTTTATTAGAAAATAAAATGTATCCAAAATATCCTCCTGATGGTTTTTAGCGGCTTTTTAACTCATTTTTCTCAAAAATGGAGCTTTGTGGTGCCCAAACTCCCCACCAAACCATCACTGAGGATGAGTGATGACCTCTTTCCACTCTTCCAATGACTTCCTGAGCCTCTTTAGAGCTGTACACGATCATTGGTGTAACGGCCAAGGAGCACTTTGCATTTTTTTGAAAGGTAATGAAATTCCCTATAAACCCGTTTAAAAATCGTTGATTCGGACAACTATTAACGAAGTTACAGCTATTTAATTTCCAATGTAAAATAGGTATGGTTTCAGGTAGGTATCCTGGTGTCAGAAAGGAAGATTCTTTCAGAGAGAAAAAAGATAACTAAGTGAAAATAAGAAAATCAGTTGCCCGCATCAAACAATCTTCACTATTTCCTCTACTTTTAACAACAATTATTGTTTGACAATACTAAGCTATGGTATAAAGTTTTTGATCAGCAATATTAGTGAGTATTGAAATTTTTATACTGATCTACCTTCAGCCGGTTTATATCGCTTTAGTTTATTAAATAATTCGTACTCAAATCTTTTGTTTGATCAATTTTCAGGAAAATAAATCTAGTTCATTTTTTTTTTTTTGTTTCTTCATGAACATATGAAAAGATATAAAAACTCTTCTGAAATAGGTAGGAAAGCCGTGTGTGTTGACAAACAAATTTCTCTTTTATGTTTGTAGTAGCTATGTTACAGTATTATAACCCTGTTGTTCTTATGCTTTCTTTAGCATTGTATATCTTCTTAGGTATATATATGCTTGTCTTACAGCATATGTTTTAGTTATTCTTTATTGTTCAATAATAGGTCTTTTGGTCAGATCTAATGTTAATTTTTTTGATCAATATTGTTATTCTTAAGGAACTATGTCCCAGAAAAAATTTGCTAAAACTTTTTTATTTTATTCTTTGACAAATTAATTTATTTTATATTGATGTGTGGATCGCCTTACCCTGGAAGTCCTGAGCTCTCCATCTTATTGGCCAGTTCTACATCCTTGGAGTAGACATCGAACTGCCATTGCCTCTGCCCAAGAACTCCTGCTAGGACTGCTCCGGTATGGATGCCGACTCTCATGTCTACTGGGGAGTTCGTCTTTTGTTGTACATATCTGAAAAGAACAGAGCACACTTTTTACAAAATGAAGGATTATGAAAAAGAATAAAAGGACAATGAAGAATAATAAGTACAATATGTTGTTGAAAAAAAAAAAGAAATATACATATATATATTGGGAATAAGGTCACTTATTAAGTCATTTAGTAGTTTATTAAACAATTAATAAGTGACCTTGTTCCCAATTAAATGGTTATGTTTAAATTTTATATTCAAAGGCCGATTAAAGAAAAGTTGTAAAAATATATATATATACTTAATAATTATTTTGGCTAAATTATTAGACAAACACGGATTTCTCCTCAACCTTTAGCACAAATAAAATATAAATTGAAAAATTATACATTCAACTTTTAGCACAAACAGTACCGAGATATACTAAATAGATATGTTTTCACTTGTAAAATGGATAGAGCCAAAAGTGCATTGAAAAAATGTCAACTTTTTGTTCGTTCGGAGTTAACGAGACCAATACTTTTCTTCAGCCAGAACAAAACTAATTTAAGCTGGGATATAAAAATGTGAGTGAAGTTCACACAAATTCGATGTTTAAGGAAGAAATCGAGACCACGATAAGCTGGTTGAACTTCAATAGAAATAAACACAAATAAGACATTTTTTTTACAGAGTAAAAAATCTGGTGCGCGCAACACAAAACTTTCACAAACCTCTCTACTTTGAATAAAAATTATTTTCTGGCAATGTTGGGCATCACTAAAACTTTTAAGTGCCCTTTTAACGGAACTATAGCTTTAATCTTACAGCTAACAAATTTTTTAAATAACAAACTCCCTATTAATTAAATCAACGGTAGACAATAAAAACCTCGGTACTCCATCTGTTTTTGTAAACCAATTAACTCCAGTCTCTAAGCTATACATATATGATTAAAGAGATTTGAAAGTATATCTCTATATTTAACCTATAAATGATTATGGATTGCACGCCTATTAGTTATTAAACTGTTATTTTCCACTGTAAAGTTTACCAAAACGAACTACAAGATGTTCATTGCCTGCCTTAGACAGGTCAAAAATTTATACACTTTAATTTTCGAGATATTTTCGATTCTGAGCACAAACATTTGTTTAACCTCTCGAATACAATCCTTCCCTAACTTCGGTAATTAGGAAGCAAATTAAACATTTTTTTGTTGATATTGTATGGTTATTTAAAGGTTTATGAAATTTCCTAAAAAACAAAAAATAAAATCGTTAAAATAGGACAATTTGGAGCAAAGGTCTCTAGATATTTTTATATGATCTTATGCAAAGATTTTTTTTAGTTTTTGATGTTCAAATGTGTTACTGAAGTAATGCTATTTTTTTTTAGGTAGTTACTATTAATGAAAAAAAAAAATGTTTAGGCCAATAATAGGAATCATCTTTTATTTCTTTATTTTTGTTAATAGAAAGTAATGTTACTTTAGATGTATAATTGGTTGGAAATAATAAACCATTGTGAAATAATTTGCAGCTTTTTTTACTTTACTTATCTTAAGTTATTTTATTTTCATTTATTGTATGTACTATTTTTATTATTATTTAGTTATTATGTTCCTTCTGTTTTATTTCATTTATTTATATTTTCTATAAATATGGCGTCAATTTACTACTTCTTTAATATAACCATCGTTCATATTGTGTCAGGATATTGTATTACTCAATAAAAAAAAAAAAGGATCAAAGGATCAAATTTGCGAACGGCTTATAAAATTGCTCGAAGAATGAAGTTGGGAAATATTAATCTCATTTAATTTGCAGAGCGACACTCAGAGCTATTCTAAATAGGCCTTCAAAGGGACCTGCTTCCATGAGCCACAATAAGTGAAAGACAATTATTCCTGCCGGGGAAAGGTCCTGTAATATTCTTTTGTCCTTCCTTTTCCTGACTTAGGAAAAAAAAACTTCCTCCAGAAAGGACAATGCGGTCGTTTTAATTGTCCCTTTTCGTCCCTTCTTTCTGGATATTGCCATCAAATAGAGTCTTAATCTTTCCCATCAAATATTTTTTTAAATTACTGTTACCTTTAATTAACTTTTGAAAAAAGAAAAGAAAAATAAATCAATGTATATGCGGCTTTTAAGAACTTTAAATTCTGAATAAAATGAAAATAATTTTTTTTTTTGTTTTATTTCTTTATGACATTTACAACTGTATTGCATAAATAAATTAAGTAAATTTGGACATAATTGATATAATGACATGAATACACTTGCTGAGTAACTACCCAATGGTAGCACTCTAATGATATGACTACATTAGGAGATCACGGGTCCATCTTCTTTTCAGACGCCTGGGGGGGTTATTAGGAATTGAAGAGGAAGCAAGGTTAGAAACGAGAGGGTTGGGATGATTCTGAAGTTTATTATGGAAGGATAGGTATGTGGATTGGGCCAGATCTGAAACATAAGGAACATTAAGATCTTTATGGATAATTTTATTAGTGACGAAGTAAGGAGTATTGAGGATTTTACGAAGGATTTTGGATTGTAAGGATTGGATGCGAGAGGAATTTGATGGTTTAGTGGAGCCCCATAGCTCAACTTCGTAAGTCCAAATAGGTCTTATTATAGTCAAGTATATGAGTCTTTTGTAATTAATGGGAAGTTTAGAGCGTTTGTCTAGTAAGTGCTGAAGTAATCGGAAACGTCGAGCGGTTTCTTGTCGTTTCTGTCTAGTATGAGGATTCCAAGTTAGTCGTTTGTCCAGGTGGAGTCCTAGGTATTGGATTTGCTCAACAGGAATAAGTGGAGTATTGTTAAAGGAAACTGTAGGACAGGAAGTCGTTGGTTTGCGACGAAAATAAAATAAAAAATGAAATTAAAGATATATATATCTTACTATATATCTTCCACTGTAAGTTTATTAAAAAGAACTACGAGATTATCACTTCCTGCCATAGACTGCTCAAAAATGTATACACTAATTTTAAGCGGATAATGTTTGGATTTCACAAAGTAATCAAATTTTTTAAAAGGTGTCATGACGATTTTTTCGGAATAAACCTCAAACCATATATTTCCGTTGAAAACTCAGATTCGAAAAATATAGAAATAAAATTTATTTTACTACAATATATCGACCATCACTTAATATGGCTTTAACCCATATTTTTACTAACTGCATAATGCCATGTTTTTTTTAGTCTGCCCAAGGCTCCCACTGAAGTTTTAATACTGCCCCTATTTTTATATTAAAATATAATGGAGACATAAATGCCATGTTCATGGAATGTCTAGAGTAAAACTCGTCCAAGCGGTTTTTGACGTCCTCTTCCTTTTGGAACTTGGGGCTAGGTTTGGTGAATAGGGAGGGCGGAACAAAAAGTCCCATCCAAGTCCCAATGATTTATTGCGAGTGACCAATGAGGTGTGGGGTCTAGCGTTGTCTTGGTGGACACAACACCCTTTCAATTATTCATAATTCTTCAGAATGTTCTCCAAATTCGATGTTACTATATCCGTTGGAAAGTTGAATTATGGCTCTTCAAAGCCTTACGAATGTTTTTTTATTTAATGCTCCCATGAGGAATAAATAAACAAAAACTGCTAATATATTTTTCTTTTTTATTTCCATTTGTAGTTTGTTTACGAAAGTACTGTTTATGTCATTTTGTGTAGTTATATGGCCCTAATATAAAAGCGTTGGTTGGAAGTGGAGAATTTTAGGAGAAGCAATATCTAAGATAGAAAGTCGTAGAAAGTAATGGTGAGTGAAGAACAATTTTAAATAATAATTTATGAAAACTAATATTATTTACGGAAAGCACATGTTTCAAGAAAGTTAAATAAAATTTACTAAGTAAATTTAAACTTTTAAAACTTTTTTTAAGTTTGAAAAAAGTATTTAAAATCCAACTAATCAAGACACTGGCATTGTTTAAAAAGCTATTTCTTAGTACTTGTGTTAAAGAAGAAGCGAAATATAAAAATATTTCATGGAAGTATATAAAACATGTTTATAACCTTAAATACATTTACTGTAGTTTAATAATACTTGATCTGATATTTTTTTTTTTAAATAATTAGATATCAACGTCCGTTTATTCCGAAAAATCGTCATGTGACCTTTTAGAAAATTAAATCAATGAATATTTTCTTGAATTTTCCCTTTGTGAAATGCAAACATTATCCACTTAAAATTAGTGTGACAACTTTTGACCTATCCTATGGTAGGCAATGAAAATTTCGTAATTTTATTTTAGTAAACTTTACAATGGAAATTAACAGTTTAACAACTAATAGAAGTACAGTCCATAATCATTTATAGGTTGAATATAGAGATATACTTTCAAATCTCCCTAGGCATATATACATACATATATATAGAAATGTGCATACACCATGCAAAAGCATATTATATGCATTACATTATTCAAATATTTTTTATATATATATAAAGAATAGTTTATTACAATATGTGTTGGGTAACGATATTTAAAAAGAATAGTACTTAATGTATATTAAAAAGAGAAAAATTAGAAAATAGATGATTAAATAAAATAAATAACAATATGCGATTAAATAAAGTAAATAACAGTATCAGTTGAATGAACAGTACCAAAAAGTACTAAAAAAGAGAATATATAATAAATAAATAAGTGAATAAAAAATATATGGTTAGGCAAAAATAAATACAAAAATTAAGTGGAGAACAAACAAATTTTATAGATCTACAATTAAGTATCTACAAAATAAAGAATAAAATACATAATTCTGAGCAACGCTAAGTCTTAAATATTATTTTTTTTTTCTATTTATTTTATTTTTTATTGTTAATCTTTAAAAGTATATTAAATAAAAGTTCTATGCTGGAATGTTATGATATTAATGAATTCTTTCAACTGCTTCAGGTATTTTTTGAATAGTAGGGGTTCGGGTCTTTGACGCAAGTCTCCTTGTGTCAAAGAGGATTTCAGGAAGGTGGCTCTTTTGTGTTCATATAACTGGCAGTCGTTTACAATATGTATGAAAGTTTGTGGACTCAGTCCGTCACAATCGCATGCATCTGTCGTTTTTAAGTGGTATATATATATATATATATATATATATATATATATATCTCAGAGACTGGAGTTATGTGGTTTACATAAACAAATAGAGTTACGATGTTTTTATATCTACCGGCGATATAAGAAATATTGTTTGTTATTTTAACGGTATTAATGATTTGTTAGCTGTAAGCTTTAAGATATAACCCTGTTAAAAGTGCACTTCAAAAATGTTATGATAGCTCAAAAGTGACAGAAAATAATTTCTAAAAAAAGTAGTGAAAGATGTGTGTTGCTCGCATCAGATTTTTTAAATGGCTCATATTAAAGATGAAGAAAGTATTTACGGATCGAAATAGTTATGCGATTTGGATAGGATTCATCGAAATCCATCGCTCTTCAGAGCCGGAATAAGTATCTACAAAATCGTATTATATATGGTGTATGTTGTTCTGTTTTCTCAAATGAGTGAAATAACATAAATGGAATTAGCTCGATAGGAACACTGGACATAGACAATAGTAGACTATGAGACGAAGGACAAAGAGGTACAAATTAGTAGAGTTAACGGAGACACAGAGGCACAATGATGTGGCGCCCTCTAGTGGCTGCTTCATTACACCGTTCTTCACTTCCTTATTAGTTCGATCCTCATCTCTAACGATATCTTTGTTTCAAACATATATTTAATTCATAATAATTTGTCTAGAAATTGATCTTATGAATTAGTGTAATCGATTTTTCAAAGTTGTATTTTTTTTTAGAAATATATACATTATATTCAGGTTATCGGAACCCAATTTGACAATCTTTCGTGGAAGATAAAACTGGAAAATGTGGGCTCTCTCTTAGTGAGGATCTTAGTGACTAGTCTAATATGCTTATGTTTGAAATATGTGAATACAGGATAAGAATGGTTCATATGTGCACCAATAAATACACATTAATATACACCAGTCGGTTGGTTGTTTTATTAAAATACTTGGTTGTTAGGTTTAATGAAAAAAGAAATTAATAATGAAAATAAAGAAAAAAAATAATAGATAGATAGATAGATATTTTATTTGTTTTTGGGGGTTCCCCATACAAATAGAGCCTAGCTTGGCTATTGTACAATAATATGGTTTTACAAATTTAGATACCATTACATATCATTTAAATATAAATAAACTTTACAATATTTTCCGTTTATAATGGGTTTTACAAAGCATGAAAAACAATAAAAGTTAAAAACATAAAACGATTACTGCATAATGATAGTTAAATGAACCTGTTACTATGATAGAACAATAAAAAATAAAAATATGTATATATACAAACAAAATATTACTTTTTACATAAACTAAAAATAAACACTTAATATAACATGGGCTATGATCAACAATTTTGTGAATGTACTTTGTGTACTCCCATCATATAATAGTAAACTTTGTTTACTTTATCTATACAGTCGATATTCAATATAGTTTCAATGTTGTGGTTATCAGAAGATTCTGAGATGAAGTTATGGAGGAATTTTTGTCTATATTCATTGTATGCTGGGCAGTGAAGGAGAATATGATGTAGACTATTGTGGATAAATTGACTGCATAATATACAAATTTCTTGAGACTCAATCGAAAAAGTTGTGGTTTTTGCATAAATTATGATTTGTTCTGGATTTGCAACTGTTAATTGACTAACACATCTCAATTTCTTTATATGAACTTTAAATGTAAGGTACGCTTCGGGATCGGGAGCATTATAACTGCATAGCATTCTGTAGAAAGGGTAGTTAGTGGAGTTTAAAGTTCTTTGAATGTCTGCTGAGAAATAATAGTTGTGTGCTTTTTCAAGGATGTCGTCTTTGTATCGAAGAAGTCCGTTTGTGTGGTGAACAGAAAGCTCTTCTGCATAGGCATTAAGCTCGGCTATTGCTCTAAATTGAGACACCCAATTGAAGTCTATGTCAGGCTTATCCTTATCTAATGTTTTGAGTCTATTAAAACAAAGTTTTGGGAGTCGCTCTTCTGGCATGAACTCGAGCTTGGTCGATAGATTTATCATCTTTTTTATTACTTTCATTCTTAATGGTTCTCTTCCTGTTTCGAGGCGGACTATGTAGTTTGGAGTATTTCTGGGCCAACCAAACAGTTGCTTTAAAAATTTATGTTGGACCGTTTAGATTGCCTCAAGATAATTGAGGATCCATATTTCAGAAGCATAAAGCAATGTTGATGAGACCATGGAGTCAAATTACAATTTTTTACTTTCCCAGGAGTCACTTTTCCCTTTTTTTAGTATTTCTATGACTCTCGCAGATGCCACTGATGACTTCTGAGTAAAATGCTCACATGCTTGTTTAAATTTTTCAGAAAAAATAATAGATAAGTAACAATAATAGATAAAAAAATAAATGAATAAAAATAATAATACAAAATAAACAAAAGAGTATTAATAATAAAAAATAAAGAGAAACAAGGTATGTCCTAACTTTGTTATCGTTATTTTATAAGATCTTAACATTTTTTTTTTCTGTTAGCATTACATACCATGTAGATCTTTTGCCACTTTAAGAAGCCTGCTTCTTCTTTGCCTGTCTTGGTCTATTTCTTTCCGGTTATCTGCACGCAGCTCTGTTGCATTTTTGTTGATTCTATCTATCCATCTGCTTTTTTTGCCTTCCACGTGATGTTTTGCCTTCTATTGAAGCATACATTGCTGCGTAGAGGCTTTCAGATGGATTGGTACCAGCTACATGCACAACCCATTTTAACCTTCGTGCCTTTATATCAATATTGATTGACCAGTTTCTGTAAGCAGTTTTTTATTAGTCTTTCTTCTCGATGTGTTAGTACTCTGATCCCAGATCGCTCCAAATCTATCCACACTTTTTTCTAGGGTGCTGTTTAGTGTCAAGGCCTCACAGCCATATATTAGAACTGGTTTTATCATAGCATTGTACTCCCTTAGTTCGAGATTTCTTGAGATTGTTCGGGATTTCAATACCTTTGAGAGGGAGAAGAAAGCTCTGTTTGTTTTAGTTATATGCTGGTTTATGTCTGCCCATTGGTCTGTCGTTATAACTTCCTAATTTTATGTACTATTTATTTTCCATTACACATAATTTATTTGTGTTTACTTCTAATGACTGTAATCAGAAATCTACTTCTCTTTTGAGAAATGCCTCAGTTTTTGCTGAATTAAAGCTCAGCTTAATTTCCATAGCTTTGGATTCTAGGCAAGGTTCATAACGTACACTTTTTAATTAAAGTTCAACCAGAATACCCTTTTTAGACCCTTCCAGGACTAATTGGCTTGGTTTCGATTTGTCAATTTTAGCTTCGTTAGCTGACAAGTGGTAGAATTAGATGGCTTTTCAAACTAGGGTTGAACATATGGTAGTTGGAACGATAGTATCAATAGCCTTTAACCGTCGAAAAACAACCAAAAACTCACAAACAAGTCTAATACGAAGGAGCTATACTAAGCTCTGCTTTTTTCCATGGTTGTCATGGGACCCCTTTAACGTTTTTTGGTTTCAAAAAAAAGAAAAAAATCTTGGGAATAATGATTTTTTTAGAAGAACTAAAAATTAATTAAATTATTTATTAATTAATTAACTCTAAAAAAAAGAGCTAATACTCTAAAGGTGATTAGACCTATAACCCTGGACTAAAAGGAGTTCTCATCGCAACGCAATGTTTGAATTTCGATTTAGTTTGATTTCAAGTCGAATTTTCTAATATTCATATCGGAATTTTTTTTTATTAATGATTGATTATTACGTTCACTTTTAACTTTCACTGACCTATATATGACGTATGTAGTATGGTACAGTTTTGCGATCGTGAAAATTTTGGAATCCCTTAAGTCCAAATAACCAAGTCTCGCATTATATCTAAATAATTAGGTATCAACAATTATTTCGATAGATCGTCATGTAACCTCTTAAAAATTAAATTAGTTAATTATTTGATTAATTTCTACTTTGTGAAATCCAAACATTGTCCGCTTAAAATTAGTGTATAAACTTTTGATCCGTCTAAGGCAGGCAATCAACATCTTGTAGTTCTTTTTGGTATACTTTACAGTGGAAAATAACAGTTTAATAACTAATGGGTTTGCAATCCATAATCATTTATAGGTTGAATGTAGAGATATACTTTCAAATCTCTCTAGGTATATATATATTGCTCAGACACCGGAGTTATTTGTTTTACGAAAATGGAGTATCCGAGGTTTATATTGTATACCGTTGATATAATTAATAGGGTTTTGGTTATTTTAACTGTGTTAATGATTCATTAGCTTTAAACTTTAAGCTATAGCTCCGTTAAAAGTACACTTCAAAAATTTTATAATAGTTCAGCATTGCCAAAAAATAATTTCTAATAAGTAGAAGGGTAAATGAAAGTTGTGTGTTGACCGCACCAGAGGTTTTAAATTAAAACCAGAGTTACATATTTCTTGATATTTGAGATTAAGCAAGAAATACCTAAGCTAAAATGAATGCTTTCGTTATATCATGAATGAGATACTGCTACAAAGGGTTTCTTCTAAGAGTGTATCCCCCAGACCGTATAATCAGCCCTTCCAAAAATAGTCCACGATCTGGTCAACTTCACTTACTTACGTCCCTTTCACATGTTTATATTTTTACTATAAAAAAGAAAATCGTTCAAAGGTGAATGCATGTAAAAAGATATATATATATATATATATATATATATATATATATATATATATATATATATATATATATATTATACTAAAAATTTAATTTACAGAAAAAAGGATTAAATATGAATGCCACTATTTAATTCTATTTGAACTGGAATATTAAATATTTATATTTAACCGGAATATTAAATACATAATTGGTAATTGGTTGACTGTCGTGGATAATGAAGAGAAGAATAGTTGGGGTGTTCAGTCAAAAAGGAAGGCAAAAATAAATTATAATATTTATTTTTTACATATGCCGACGTTTCGACCTGAAGTCCAGGCCTTCATCAGGGCAAAGAAAATAACCAGATAACAAGGTAAATAAGTAACCATAAGAAAACAACCATAAGTAATGATGGTAAAAAAGATAATAAAAAATAAAAAAATAAATAAAAAAAATTATTAGAAAAATAAAATAGATAAATATAAAGTAAAATGAAATTGTTAGAATTAGTTAGTTATTATTAAAACACTTTATTCAGAAATATTACAATTTGTCACAGTTAGAATAATGACTAAGAACTAAGAGATAAATAATAAAAACTGTTACATAGTGTGGAATGATGAAGTAGGCATAATCAAAAAGGGGTGACAAAAGTGTTACAATGGGAATCTTAGAATAAAATGTAAAAACATAAAAAAGAAATATAAAGTTATATAAGAAATGAAAATAAATAGTAAAATTAAAACATTGAGAATGGAGTAGTTAGATAGAAAATTGAGATATTGTAAAGTCTATCAAGATGTACAGACAATGTATAATATAATAAAGAATTAAAAACAGAGAAAAGGAATGAAAGGAAGGAGGGAAGAAATTGAGAAAGCTGAAATAAGAAATAAATAAAAGAAGTACTACCTTTCTCCTTAAGTGTCGAAGGGAGAATAAAAGTCGTTACAAGGGAGGGGGAGAGAGAAGAGAATATTAAATAATTATTTCAAGACGTATGTTTTCAAAAGGGACAGAGAAGGTGTTTGCATTTTTTGAAGAACGGCGCATTATGAGGAGCGAAATAAAAATAAGTTCCCATTGATTTGTCTAGTAATTATTTGATTTTCATAAATACTCAGGTTCTCTGTGGTTATCATAACTCAAACTATCATAAAATCAATAAGAAATTTTAGTTTATACCAAAGTAAACCTAAAACCAAATGTTTTTTAAAAAGGAACATAAAAGTTTATTGTTGCTCTCTTTCTTTTCCTTCCATCTCTCTACCTATAAAACTCAATAGTTTTATAAAAGTATTTTAGGTAATATATTTGGATAAAAATACTTATTGTATTTTTATTTTGCAATTTACTTACTTTCAGGCATATAGGGGGTTATTCTATGGGAATAACCGAACTATTCTAACCAAGCTGGTAAGGTCGAGATTTATTTGATGATTCCGACACGAAATAAATTTTAACCCGCAAGAAACAAATTCGAATGGTTACCAGGTTTTTTCACCCTTTACACTCTTAGCGACTACTCCTATTTGGAATAAATACCATCTTATATTAATACTAACTTATTTTACAGGCCGAATCAAGGTAAAAATAATCCAAAACTAAAAACTATTTTAAAAATTTAATATTGAAATAAAAAGATCCCAGTGAAGTTAGTCAAAATATGTCTTCCTGCCATCTTTCCTGCCCTTTTGCATATCTACAATTTTTCCTTACAAAATTCCAGTTTTCCACCTGAAAGCCTTGTTTCCTCTAAAGTTTTTGACTTTAGACCTATCTCCATCCTTTCCAATCATTCAAAACCACTTAAAGACTAGTCCATTCACACCTAGTCCATCCAAACACCTTGCTAGAGCAAAAAGCTCTTCTTAATCCTCTCCTATTCGGTTTCCAATCCCACTTTCCCACTCAATCTACCTTGTTAAAAGTCACCCAAGACCTTCAATTCTTCTATTTTATATTTTTATCCAAAAATAAAAAATATAAAAGAATAATAGAATAAAATAAATAAATAAAGATAATGATAGTCACTTATAAATAATAAAGTAGAATAGATAAATAAAAAAAATAGCAATAAATTAATTGAAATTAATAAATAATATAAAATTTTAAAATTAAGAAAAAATAAATAATAAATCTGCAAAGGACCATTAGTTATAAACTTGTTATACATGTTTTTCAAGTCTTTCATTGTCTAGGCATCTATCTTCATAACATTGGTAATGATTTCTCAGGAATGATGATATATTCAGGAGTATTTCGAGATCTTTTAACCTTGGGGTGTAAAAAGGGCACTCTTTCAAAACGTTTTATGGTTAATAACTGGTCACACTTTTGACATCTGGGGATAAGATCTTTTGTT